GTTATGTGAAGATCCTCCATAGCACCGCCCTTTTCACCACCTCGGTAAGCGAGGAAATTGCACGAAAATGGTTGTGGTGGCCATTTTGGGCACCTGGCGGCCATTTTGGAACCGCCGATCAGATGTTCCGCAAACATCACTATGCGAAGATCGGTAAGTGAAACGCTTACCGATCATCACAATGCAATGTTTAGGCTACTAAAACATTGCAATGTGATCGCATTAGCGATCCCAAAAAATAGATCGCTATGCGGATTTGTCATTAAACGGTGCGCTCGTTATGCGAGGCACCACTGTATCTGCTTCCCCATTTCAAGCCAGTAAAAGTTTTGAGCTAATCTTTGTTCAGTTTTTGTGATACCTAAAAGGGCTGAAAAGGTACCAGCGTGCCTCCGCTCCACTATCCCCACTCGATATTCGAGAGGAACAATCAGTTGCTTGTGGTGAGTTTCCCCTCCCCTTCTGGGATTCACCAAGGTCTCTCTATACAAAAGGTCTCTTTCTAGGAAGAACCTTTCTGGACTCTTGGGGGTTAACAGACCTTTGCCAACTTTCTTAAAACATCGATCCAGTGTGGGATCTGCTTTCTGTTCTCTTTTAAATGTTTTTTCGAGGGGAATCTTAATAGATTAATTCAGCTGTAGAATCCTATCCTCCCTCCAGTTCTGTATGAATTTAACCCTTATCCATTCCTTTTTCTTCTTCTTTCTGCTGGGAGCAAGTCTGCACTAACACATTTTTGATGTGCTCAGTGAGATAAATCCCAGTTAAACAAGGCCCAGGCAATTGATCAGCTACGCGTGCTCTCCATACTCCTTTCCACCCTTGATATCTTATAGGTACCTCAGCCACTGGCATAGTAAATATTTCTGCACCTATCCCCTTAACTGTCAGGCTTTCACCTTTCAATATGTACTCTGGAGAGATTATGTCTGAATGGAATAAAGTAACTTGAGAGCAAGAGTCTTTCAGAGCCATAAATTTTGTTTCATTTATATAATTGCTATCTCCAGAACTTTTAAAAAGCTCCTGGTTGGTTTCTATTAGATAACAATGGAGGATCTCAGCTACAGGCAGCTGTCCTGCTTGCTGTTCATGACTCTCTGCCCTAGCTGCACTTGTATTAGGAGTTACTGTTTCACCATTCTCTAAGGTAACTTTGTTTTGCTGCACTGATTTAGGCTTGAGTAAATTTTCTTTTTGCTCCCCCCTTCCTTAGCTTTAGCACCTTGTGAAATGAAATGGCCTTTCTCTCCACATCCGAAATGATCTGAAGTTTTTCTGTTCTGAACTAAGGGTTTTATTTCCCTTCCCTTCCCAGTTCCTGTTTTTATGCTGGCTCAGTTCTGTGGGCTTGCCAACAAAATGGCTGCCGCTTGCCTGCTGGTTCTTGAGGTAACCCTTGGGATCCTTTTTACTGTCCTCCCAGGTTTTCCACCCCACTTTTACCCCAGCAAAACTTGAGTTTCCTATATGTGAAATAAAATCTGCAACCCCTCCTGCTTTTTGAATATCTTTGGGCTTTTTATCCCTCACTAGGTACCTCAGGTCTCCAGGTAGACATGAATAGAACTGCTCTAGCCCCATGATGTTCTTAATATCTTGTATCCCTTCCTCTTGAAGCCATTTGTCAAGATATTTGGTCAAGTTTGCCCCTAGTTGAGAATAGGATTCTTCAGGTTTTTTTGTCAAGGCTCTGAACTTCCGCCTTAAACGCTCAGCATTGATGCCAAACAGCGAGAATGTCAACTTTTTAAATTCTTTAAAATCTCTCACTAAATCCAATGGCATCTGGGTGTATGTATCTGCTAATTCACCACTTATTTGGGACCTCATCACAATCATACATTCTCATTCCCGACTTCAAAATCTTCACATGCACGCTCAGACAAAATAATAAAAGATCCAGGATCATTGCCCTTTCTAAATACAGTGAATCTTTTGAGGTCTGCTTTGGACAAATGTCTTTCTTCAGAATTAGAATTGCTGCTGGTGGTTTTATTATTATTATCTGAAAGGGAGAGAGACTGTGTGTGGCTTAAAAGTGAGAGAAGATTGAGTTAGAGGACTGTAAGAGGGTAGATTAAAGTAGAGGGTTAAAAAAGATTTAGAACTATATCCTACTTGATATAAATAATAGTGATTATCAACCTGTAATTAACCCCATGAATATTTATCGTTTATTAACTTCCCTGATCAAATAAAAGACTTGAGTTTTCAACAGCACACTTGTCTCCATACTCAATTGATATTAAAGCATTAATATCTGGTGGCACTGAAGAAGAAAGAACAGCAAGAACCTCATGAAGGCCTGGGGAGATAGGGACTTCAGAGGGGATCGCGACAAAATGGTGATCAGTGGCGGGAGCGAATGGAATCCAGTGATGCCTAAGAAAAGAAAGATTCCCAGAGCAGAAAATATATTTTAGTCAGGGGATCTGAAGTGGATGGATAGAATAACTTCCTAGAGCTTTTCAGGGGGAAAAGCTTAGTGGCGAGGCTCCTAAGCTCTGATCAGGGGGCAAAGATAGGGATAGGCTCTGAGGAAACCATTTCTGGCGTAAGGTTACCTCAAGCAGGGAAAGGACCAGTTGGCTAGCTTATCCTGAGCTCAAAGGAGAGGGTTCTGAGGGGACAAAGTGGAGGCCAAGGTCAGAGAAGCTGAGGTGTTTCAAAACAGCAAAAGCTGGAACTGGTTAAAGCTAATATTTCTGTTTATTATTATTATTATTATTATTATTATTATTATTATTATTATTATTATTATTATTATTATTATTATTATTATTATTATTATTATTATTGGCTGTCAGCTCCAACCTCTTAATTTCAAATGACATCCTTTCCTTTTCTAGAGCCATCTTCTCCTTTTCTAATTCCCTGTCTTTTTCTCGCTGTCTCTCCTCAGCTCTAGCTTTAATTTCCAGATGTCTTTCTTGTCAGGATTTAGCGACAGGAAAATACGCAGAGTTAATTGAAGACACTTACACGTTCTTCTTCTTTAGCAAGACAGGTGTATTTACAATATTTACAAGTATATACAGGCTGGCATCACTTCAGCATAGCAGGAAATCATTGAACAAACCGGCATAGAGGATAGCAGCAAGTGATAGAGAGAGAAGAGAAATCTATGAACACACTATTCACTTATATACATATACAAGGTTTCTTCAGTCCAATCAGAAGACACATTACATCATCTTCTGCACCTGGGTGTCATCTCATCTTCAGACATTGCATCATCTCCTCAGCAGTCACAGTGACTCAGCATACATACATCTGTTCACAATGGCAGCTCATTAATAACACATTTTTCCAGGTTCAGGCCTATAAAAATTACAATATCCTGACATTTCCTCAGCCCTCGCTTTAGCTTCTAGCCATTTTAGCTGGAATTCCTGTTCCTTCTCTAATTTCCATTTTCTGAATTCCATATAGTCTTTCCCCTTTGATGTTACCATTTCCCCCTCTGAGGTAATTCCTTCTAGAATTTCTTCCACCTCCTGATCTGAAGCATCTGAAACCTCAGGAGGCAATTCTGCCGCCTTTTTCCCCCGTGTGGAAGGCATGTTTATTTATTTATGCTTCTGAATCGATTTACAAGCCTCAGATTTAAAACGTACAGTTTTTCCTCTTTTTTTCTGTGAGTTAGAGTCTCTGTAATAAAGTTGCTTCCCTGCTATCATCCACTGTAAGGATACTGTGTTTATATCTCTGGCTCCCAGTGAGGCCTTTAGTAAGAGACAAAGTTTCTCCCTGCCTCTTGCCACCAAAATAAACAGAAATATTAGCTTTAACCAGTTCCAGCTTTTGCTGTTTTGAAACACCTCAGCTTCTCTGACCTTGGCCTCCACTTTGTCCCCTCAGAACGCTCTCCTTTGAGCTCAGGATAAGCTAGCCAACTGGTCCTTTCCCTGCTTGAGGTAACCTTATGCCAGAAATTGTTTCCTCAGAGCCTATCCCTATCTTAGCCCCCTGATCTGTGTTTAGGAGCCTCCCCACTTTTCCCCCCTGAAAAGCTCTAGGGGGTTACTCACTCTGTCCACTTCAGATCCCCTGACTAAAATATCTTTTTCCACTCTGGGAACCTTTCTGTTCTTAGGCGTCACTGGATTACATTTGATCCCACCACTAATCACCACTTTGTTGTGATCCACTCTGAAGTCCCTATATCCCCAGGCCTTCACAAGGTTCTCGCTCTTCTTTCTCTTTGCTGCCACCAGATATTAATGCTTTAAAATCAATTGAGTATGGAGACACGTGTGTTATCACAACATAAGTCTTTTATTTTACCAGGGAAGTTGATAATACATAAATACTCATGGGGTTAATTACAGATTGATAATCACTATTATTTATATCAAGGAAGATATAGTTCCAAATCTCTTTTAACCTTCTGCTTCGATCTTCTCTCTTACAGTTCTCTAACTCACTCTTCTCTCACTTTTCAGCTACACACAATCTCTCTCCTCTCTCAGACTCCATCCACCAGTCTTTATATCCAGCTCCCTCCCCCCTTGGCTCACTCATTGGCTCCTGCTTCAATGTTCTGCGGTGATGGCCAGGCGAGGTCAGGGCTGTTCACTACAGTAAGCTTAGTCTAAAACCTGTCTCCAAAGGCAGGAACATTAACAAGTGGACATGACCCAAACCGGCCTAAATATTTTGATCACAAGTAAACCACTAGTCAGGGAGCTGTTACACTCCATAGTGGAACATGTAGTGCAAGAGCTGAAAAGAATTTACATAAATGAACCAAGGTGCACATGATGGTCAAAGGATTTTTCCCTTCTGCCCTCCTCTTCATGGTGTACACTAGTAGTATCTGGTGAACAACCCGAAGGATCTGTTTGCTGTATGATATGTGTAACATAGGTACAAATGTCTTTGCACCACATTTATGGACTGCTGAACCCACCCAAGATTATTCTGATTGGTAAACAGCTAGAAAGCTAAGAATTCTCTTTTCTTCTCTTGTCCTCTCTTCTCTACTCTTACAGTGCTGCAAGCTGGTTAAAACCTCCAACAGCTCCACAGAAGACTCACACTCCCCACTACTTGAACCCAGCATATTGGCACAACAACCAAAACAAACTTCACTTTGTGGGCAGCTACATGTGTGTGAATATACTCCTCTTCACATTTGCAGCACAAAAGCATGTCAGCTCTGGCATTTGGATTGTGCTGGCAAAAGGTTGTGGGCAGTGCCTGAACTTCAACTGTGCTTTTATAGTGGTGAGTATTGGAATACATCCATTATATTGAGTGCAGGCAAAGGCATGGTCAGAGCAGAGTAGGAATATTAAAAATATTTGTTAAACTCCTTGTTTTCCTCAGTTAAGGCTGTTTTAACACAAGTAGACATGTCAGTGAGAATCTTCTGTGAGATTAAGGTAAATGAACTGAAACTTAATCCAGACAAGACAGAAGTGCTTCTGGTCAGTTGAAAGGCAGAGCAAGGAATTAAGGATACAGCTTGTGCTGTGAACAAGACTATATTTCTCAGCAGTACAGTAAGGATTTTATAGATGAGCAGTGATCAGAAAAAGTGTTTGCAATGCATGTTCTTACTCAAAGTGACCCCAAAGAGTAGTATGAGAAACAGTTGCTGAAATCCAGTAGTAAGTCACAACTAAAGTAGGCTCACTGAATCTACAACATTTATAGGATTGGGATTTTTGGGAGCTGACTCACCAAACCCCCACTGATTCAGTGGACCTACTCTAGTTGTGACTTGACTGTTGGTTTTAAGCCAGTGTGTGTTTCCTTCCAGTATTTCCAGTTAACCTACCCCAGGTGTTGTCCAGCTTTCAGTCACACTATATTAAGAACTTACATACTATGGGTTAATTTTTTTTGCTCCCCAAATATTTGCCTTTGTGATCCGTTCACTTCTCTGATCTAGCCTTTCTAGACTGACCCCTGTTTCTGAACACCCTAATTCCATCCGTATTGTTCTTGACTTAGCACCTTATTCTCCACCATCTGAGTTCCATGACTAATCCCAAGATGTAAGCTTCATAAAGTGTGTCTCTTGTTCAGTAGACATTGTCAAACGATAGGAGATAGCAAGGTTGGGAATATATTTCGGCATAAACCTTTTATAACATAAGCATACGGAAATGTCTGATTCTACAGCAAATGGGGATCTCCACTCAGTTGCTGCATCAGGTGAACTGCACCTTGATGACTTTCTAAGCTTTCTGTCTTTTTAAACATAGACTTTTACTCTTAAAAATATCCAATAATCCTGTACAGTGCTAATAAAAAAATAGTTTATGGAATTCAGTTTAGCAGCAGCTGCAAGATACCCTCATTTTGCTTGCAGAACGTCCAGTTTAATAAGATAAGAGCTTTTCAAATAAATCTTGGCATTATTTTCTTATTCTCCAAGCTGCTGACGTTACGCCAATGTCTAACATGGTTACGTGCTACCTGGGTCGCCAGAGTTCTGCCTCTAGACCAGAACATAATTCTGCACCAGCTGATGGGATACACAGTGGTGATTCTAACTATAATTCATACAGGGGCTCACATGGCCAACTTTGGTGAGTACCCAGAGACATAGTTATGAAGTTCTTGTTCTCTGCCACACTTGTATAAGACTGTGTCATTGCAAAAACCCCATTTCCTTATGTTCATCTTGATTCTGCTAATTCTGATTAATGGCCCATCAAGCGACTTCCAAGTAATCCAGTTTTCTTTGTGACCAAGGGCTAGATTTTCCCACAAGTCCATCCATTTTAAGAGGTTGGTAGTTGTTTTGTCCCCTTATTATGGTCCTGGCATTCTCTGCTGCTCAGGGTGTTCTGGAAAAACTTTTCTTTGACTTTAATCTGAAAGGAGTGGGATGATAGCTGAAGAGTAAATGTTCATTTGATGGAGATGCTTCAAGTCCTTCACTATTTGCTCCCACCACTCTCAGTAGGTCATTAGGTGCAATGCCTGCTAGGTAACCGATTTTATCAATAAGGGTTGGCGTCAAACATCCAGTAATGGTTCTACAACTATTATTGAGTGCTGCATCTATTTGTTTTGCATGAGTTGAAGTATTCCACATCAGGCTGGTTTATTTGTCTGCAGGGTATTTAGGGTTAAAGGTCTAATTAGTGTTTGCGGTTGTGTGCTCCAAGCTAGTTCCTGGCAGCTTTTGAATAATATTGTTCCTTTGCTGCTCGTCCTGGGTGGGGCGGCGCCGAGCCTAGTGGCTGGCTGTCGGGGCTTCCCAGGCTGGCTGCCCCATGGCGGCTTCCCCGCAGGGAAGGGGTGCTGCTCTCCTGCAAGGAGCATTGGGGGAAAGTTAGCATGAAGGCCACACGCCCACCAGCAAGCGCAAGACACACCCCATGTGGGGGGGGCAGGGCAGAGATCTGTGTCCACAGCCCAGTTCCAGCAAACCCATTGACCGTCACCAGGCAGCGGACCGGGGTTGATGATCCCTGTTCTAGTGGAGTTAGTGATTATCTTCATTTTTACTACTGCAATTCTTCATACCAAGATTTAACTTTTGATATTCCTTAATTTGTTCCTTAATTTGTTGTTTTAATTTTTTCACAATTCATTTTAACAGTTTCTTGCAAGTTCCAAGTACTGTAAGATGTATCCCTAAATATCTGAGACTATTTTTTAGCTTGTTGTCAAATTTCTCTTTCAATATACGCCTTTCTTCATTATCATAATTTGCTAACATAAATTCTGGTTTACTCCAATTTACCCTTAGTCCCATTACTTCTTCAAAAGCTTTTAAATGCCATTGAATATTTTCTATGTGTAATCTGCAAATAAGTTTATCTTGATTTTATCTTTATTCTCTAATAGTTTTATTTTGGTACCTGTGACCGCCTCCTCTCACGTCACAAAGGAGCTGCCACGTCACTCTCACACCCTCACTTTATTCACGCTGCCACCAACCATTCCCTCATAAAACTGTTCAGACAAAAGTATGATTTTTAAAATAAAAACTTATGTTTATTGATAATAACAAAAGGAATGGTAAATCACTATAATAATTAAAATAAAAGGCAATCAGTATAATAAAGTACCCACACACATACTCTCTCTCAGACTTTCACTCTCTCTATATAGCACAGTACTACACAACATGTACAAGCCCTAACTCCCTAAGTCCCTAACCAGACCCTATCAAGTCCCTATCTGACTCACACCTCATTCACTCCCCCTTAAATACCCTAGCTCCACCCTCTTATGTCCCACCTCCCATCACGCCATTGGCAGATGACAAACAACCATAGCAATGACGGGCAGATGACATCACCGTTACTGTAACAGTACCTTCTCTAATTGTATTTGCTAATAATTCTATTATCAAGGTAAATAGCTTTGGAAATAAGGGGCATCCTTGCCCTAATGTAATTGTTTCTGTTACATCATCATTTACTAAAACCATGACAGTATTCTCTGAATATAGTTGCTGAATAATATTTCTAAAACGTGCACCAAAATCTAATTTTTTTACTAATATTTTTAAAGCCGACCGTTCCACTAAGTCAAAGGCTCAAAGGCTATTTTATCCACTGGATAAAATATCCAGCAATAGGATCCCTTTTGTCTTTGTCTCATTTGTTGTATTGATTACATTTAATACTCTTCACATTAAATCCCCCATTTGTCTACCATTTGGGTGGGAAGAGTCTCTGAGAATATTAAATTACTTCCTCAAGCAGTGAGATGCAAATACATTGTCCAAGGTTGGAAGCTGAAGTCCAATAATAATTTGGGCAATTTTAATAATTTGCATCAGCTGCATCTGATCCTCACTAGACGCTCTAGCCTTCCTACTATTAGGATCACATGCGGTTATCAGGGTGTTGATTGCAATACTGATCACTCCCTGGCGTGTAGCAGTATAAAACTGTGAATAAAGAGATTGTATCATACGAAAAAGGAAGGAAGACCATGTATTGACATCAGCAAGTCTCACGATCAGAGAAAAGTGGAGGAATTTGCTCAAGCGCTTGAGGAAACTCTTCCAGGCCTGACGAATACAAATGCACCTAAACGATGGGAACATTTCAAGAATGCTGTGTATAACACCGCCTTGTCCACCTTTGGCAAGAAGACCAAAAAGATGGCTGGTTTGAAGCCCATTCGTAGGAGCTGATGCCAGCCATCGAGGATAAGAGGAGAACTCTAGCAGCATACAAAGCCTGTCCTAGCGAGTACAACTTGCAAGCTCTTTGAGCTGCTCGTAGCTGAGTCCAACAGGCTGCCAGGAGATGTTCCAACGATTATTGGCTTCAGCTGTGCTCTCAGATACAGATATCAGCGGACACAGGTAACATCAAAGGAATGTATGACAGTATCAAGCAGGCTTTAGGTCCGCTACAGAAGAAATCTGCTCCCTTGAAGTCTGCTACAGGCATGATCATTCAGGACTGAGCACAGCAGATGGAACGTTGGGTGCAGCACAACTCTGAGCTATATTCCGGAGAGAATGTAGTAACCAAAGAAGCATTAAATAACATTGAGTGCCTGCCTGTCGTGGGAAGAGCTGGACAGCGAACCAACCTTAGCAGAAATAAAAGCGGTCTTGGATTCCCTCGCCTCCGGCAAGGCACCTGGAAAGGATAGCATCCCTGTTGAAGTGCTGAAGTGCTGTACAGAGATCATCACCATCGAACTGTATGAAGTCTTTTGTCTCTGCTGGAGGGAAAGGTGGAATACCACAGGACATGAAGGATGCAAACATCGTCACAATGTACAAGAACAAAGAAGACAGGGTCAACTGCAATAACTACCGTAGCATCTCTCTTCTCAGCATTGTAGGGAAGCTGCTTGCCCGTGTTGTGCTGAAGAGACTCCAGGTGCTTGCAGACAGAGTATATCCAGAATCACAGTGTGGCTTTCGAGATAATAGATCCACCACTGGCATGGTATTTTCCCTCAGACAGTTGCAGGAGAAATGTAGGGAACAACAACAGCCACTCTTAGTGGCCTTCATAGACCTTACAATTGCATTTGACTTGATTAGCAGGGATGGCCTTTTTAAAAGTACTTCCCAAGATTGGATGTCCACCTCGACTCCTTAAAATCATCAGGTCCTTTCATGAGAAAGTGAAGGGCACTGTAGTTTTTGATGGCTCAACATCAGATCCCTTTGACATCCAGGGCTGTGTCCTTGTGCCAACCCTGTTTGGAATCTTTTTTGCTGTCATGCTGAAGTGATATTCTTGTCTGGGGTAGCACTTGTTTGGTGGCTCATAATTTGGCACAAAACAGCCCTCTTTATCAATGGGCCTGTTCACACAGTAGCCTGTGTTCCCACCTCAGCCGCTGGCGCCTGCATAGGCTCATAAGGAAAGGACTCCTAGGAGTCAACCCTAAAACCCTGCTACTGTCAGGTAGACCTGAGTAATTTTCCTCAGGAGGGTCCTATCATGCCGACAAGTTTGTGTAGGACCAGTCCCTTTTATCTGGTACAGGAGCTATGAGCCTTTTCCGACACCTTTTCTGCCACCACTGTTGCCCCACTCCACCAGGCACTGTTCTGAGCCACAGGCTAATAAGTGCTTTGTGCCTCCATCTATGCCTCAAAGGTGTAGTGTTCCCTTGAACTTGGCTCCGGCAGCAAAGTGTTTGCAGGTTCAACCTAACCCGCTGTTAACCCTTTCAGCCTTCTCTGTCCTGGCAACTGTATTAAGACTGAGTTTGGTCAGGCTCATGCTAAGAAAGACTGCTCCCCTAATCGTCTGAAGGACTTACCTTGTTCAGCTGAGACTCACAAGAGTCAGAAGGGGAGGAAGACTTCCAACCAATCTTCCTACTCCCATATCAGTTGCCACAGTTAGTCACCCTCCTTTATCATTAACAGAGAAGGAGTTCTTTGATCGGCATTTTTTATTTTCTGGCCACCATGTAGCCAACTAATTCTCTGCCATGGGTGCTTATCATCACCACTTATTAGATTTGCCATTGCCAATTCTGTGGGTAACTCCTGTGCACCTTTACAGTTAAGGCCTCCCATATCACCAGGAGGCAATGGGGTGGGTGCGTCACGAGTGCATTGCTGCTCGACATGCCTTAAACCAGCATCCAAACAAGTGACAGGTCGAGGATCTGCTGTTTGTTGGTATACGACTTCCAGTGAGAAAATTTATGTTATTCTTGATAACCTGCCCAAGCTCTGGAAGGTGGCACGGTCATTTATAGTGTAACAACCACAAGTACCTGGTGATGCTCCTACCAGCCTAGGGCATACCGGGAACATCAAATGCCTCAACTTCAAAGTTACCAGCTGCCACCCCCTAGACATGTGGGCAGGCAGCACCCTGACCAACAGATCTGCAGGCAGGACCACAAAACCGAGCGGTCTCTTTACTGCACCTGACTTCCACGTTGTTCCAGGTGACTCCGGAACTTGCTGCATAACTGGACTGGTGGGGATCCCCCCCAACCTACGCATAGAGAGACCCTTTGGTCTCTTGACCTGGTTGGTTCAGTCAGTGGTGGATGCCAGCCCGCTGGGCGGGTGGGCTTGTCTGCACCACCATGTTGCCCTTGGCCACTGGTAGCCGGCCTTCATATCATTGTGCTGGAGCTCCTGGCAAACACCAAGGCCTTTTGGGCCTCTGAGCTCCTACTCCGGGGTCGGGTGATCCAGGTCACATCAGACAATACCACGGCAGTTGATTATACACACAGGCAGGGTGGTGCTCATTCATTACGCCTTCTTGTTCTCACCATCAGCCTTTCAGAATGGTGTTATGCTTGCCACATTTGTCCAGACAGAAATGATTTGTGGCAGTCCATCTCAGCAGGCTACGGTTCTGCTCTCACGAGCAGGCTCTCGACGATGCCACCTTTCATTGCCTCTGTCATTGATGGGGTACTCCAGACATAGATGTTTTGCATCCTGATTAAACAAGAAGTGTGCCATTTTCAGCTCCCGAGCTGGCATTGGCCGCAGCTCCCTAGAGGATGCTTCCTGACAAATTGGTCTCGGGGCCTCCTTTACAGGTTTCCACTTTTCCCCTTCTTCAAAAGACTCTTGTTTGTGTCCCCCATGAGTGTGCAAACATCATGCTTGGTCGCCTCACTAGCCACTGTTTTTGATCCTGCTCCCTGAGCTACGGAATACATCAGGCTGCACCTGGTCCCTCATCTGCTTTCTCAGGACAAGGATCAGATATTTCATCTGGACCTCAAGCCCCCCTACCTGTCTTCCCTGACTGTAACAGACATCCTCAGTCATGCTTGCAAACCTTCTACCATCTTGACCTACTCCTATTAGGCCAATGTCTCTGGACACATTCCTTCAGTTTCTCCTTCACCTGTTTTGCCTGGGACTGCCCCGTTCTACCTGCAAGCTGTTTCTCTGAGGCCTGGAGAACATGCGCCCTGCCGACCACTAACATCTCAGTGGTCTCTCCAATCAATTCTTTGGTGGCTTATGAGGCCTCCCTTCAAGCCCTTGGCATCAGCATTGCTCAACTTGCTGCCTTTCTCCTGACAATAATCTTGGCTTGCAGGACTGGAGGACTGGCTATACTAAGAGTGGGTCCTCCTTTCTGTAAAGTAACCTTCTTGTCTAAGGTATTTTCTGCCTTCCATCTGAACCAGCCAGCTGTCCTTCATGTCTTCTTTCACATGCCATCTTCACTGCTTGAGACAACTCCGCAAGCTCTAGACGTGAAGCGTGCTCTCTCGCATTATGTGCATAGCATGATGACTTTTCGTGCCTCACAGCATCTCTTTGTCTCTTTGCTGGCTCCTCCTTCAGAGCACCGGCTTCCTCTCAGACCATCTCTAGATGGTTAGTCAAGACCATCAGTCTTCCCTATGATTTGTCAGAGACTCCTCTTCCAAAGTCTGAGAGCTCACTCTACAACAGCCTTTCTCCGTGGAGTGGACATTGCGGATGTCTGCTGCGCTGCCACATACGCCACTCCGCCTATCCTCATCTCGCTCTCCCACCTGGATGTCCAGCCGAAGGCTGAGGCTGCAGTAGGTCAAACTGTCCTGGCTTCTGCACTTTTGTGACATCCCTCCTCCTGGTTAGTCAGCTTGCCAGTCACCCTTAGTGTGTATTCACAGAGGCCACGAAGGAGAAAAAGAAGTTACTTACTTTTAACTGTGGTTCTTCGAGTGGTCCTCTGTGAATTCACACCTCCCACACTCCTCCCTGCTGTCCGTCATGTGTGCCATGGCATGCTGGGCAGCAGCGGTTGGTTCCTTAGAACTGAGGCACTAGTGCTGGGGGCAGAGTTATATAGCTGGTGTAGTGGAGGTCCCAGCACACTAAGTGCTTAAAGCTGTGAAAGTTTCCGACCTGCTCTGCTCTCCTTCTCCTTCTCCTTCTCCTTCTCCTTCTCCTTCTCCCTCTCCTTCTCCTTCTCCTTCTCCTTCTCCTTCTCCTTCTCCTTCTCCTTCTCCTTCTCCTTCTCCTTCTGCTAACAGCTTGAAGGAGATTGCCTTCTCCCTTCGCTTTGAATGAGGGTTTGAGTACGAACATTTACTGCTTTGAATTGTAAAGGAAGGAGGGTTGTTTCTCCTGTCTTTTTTTTTTAACCCTCTGCTATTGCAAAGTTTTGTGCTCCTTTACAGAGGGAAAGGGGAGAAGGAGAAAAAGTCCATACCTTTCTATTATACCACATCTCTTTTTTTCAAAAAAATAGTAAGGGGCAGTACTGCCCCAGGAAATATAAGAGAAAATAAATCAGTTCCTTGGTGTGTCTGGTCATAATGTCTCCAATAGGAAGAAATAAACTGGTAATGTTAAAACAAATTGGAATATTCACCCTGGTATAAACATCATGTGACTACAATTCAGTACAACCAAGGTATGGAAAGAATTGTTAGATCTGGGTTACATTTGGCTGGTGTGATCAGGCTCAGAATCAAGAAGGACGTTGAACAGTTTCTGCCAGTTTATAGGTAAATTGAAGGAGACAGCAATAGTTGTACAATTTGCTTTTTGAAATTTAAATATAGACATGGGGGAGGTAGGCTAATTTAGATTTGGATAATATTAATTTTCTGCCCAGAATGGGTGCTAGAATGTGGCGCTCTGAGCTGTTTTGTGACTTGCTAATTAGTCCCTTTTTGTGTGCTGCTTGTCTGCTGGGATGGGTGAATTCTGTTGGGCTATCCTACTTGGAAGCTGCCATTCTGGGTTGTTCTGCACAATATCAATTTTCTACCTAGAACAGGCAGCTAGGACAGGGGAAAGATGACTGGTTGCATGTTTCCCCTCTAGTCCAATGGGATCAGCAAATTTTGTTGAGCTATCCTACTCTGTAGTTTTCATTCTAGCTGTTTTGTGCAGTATTGATTGTCTGCCTGGAACAAGTGTGAGAGTGTCATTCCTGGAGATGTTTTGTGACTTGCTGCAGCAGTCTTATCTAGCCACATGTGTGTTGTGAATATGGTTTGTTTCTCCTACTCAGAAGTTGCAATTCTGGGTCATTCTGGCTGGCTTGGGGTCATTTAAGAGTTAATGAAAGAGAACTCATTAATCGGTTTTATATACAGTATACATTATTTTTCTGATGTGTGTCCATCACATTCCACTACCTCAGCATCAGTTTTTATTTAGAAGTATCTGTTCCAGCCAATTCTGTTCCATTCCAGCTTTTACCTAGTCCCCAAACAAAATAAAGGAAAAATGAAAAAGCATTAAGGCACTTCTAAGAGGAACATACTTACTTTGGTATGAATTGTTGTTGAATACAATATACTTCTCTCTTGCACCTTCAGACACTATTAAAACTATTATTGAGAAATATCTGTCCAAATTCTGACAAAGAGCCAGTGCTCTGAAAGCCTGCTTTCAATTCATGCTCATGGTAATTGCTCAGCTCAGTTTCAGCTACAAGACTTTATGGGCCTCTCTTTAAACAGATTAACATCCCAATCCTTTATAAAAGCCTTGTCTCAGCTTGTATTTAACAGTTCAAGCCACACTGCAGAAGGTTCTTGTTGAGGTGCCAGTTCACTGCATGACTTGAACTTGTTTACCCATCTTCTCTCTCTCATCTAGTGATAATGTCCTGGGCCAAGGACAGCTATAACCTCTGGGAATACCTGTTTACCACTCGTCCTGGCATTGGCTGGATTTATGGGACCGCCTCTATCACAGGTCTTGTGCTACAGGCTCTTATCTGCCTCATGCTCTTGTGCTCAAGCACCATTGTTCGCAAGAGTGGGCATTTTGAGGTGAGAAGCAAGATCTCCTCTGGCTTTTGGTTATTTCATTTAACATTAAGTTAGCTAAATAAACATGTAAGGGTGTAACAAGCAATCTTCATTCCCAGTGTCACGTATCAACCAAGGAATAATAGGTAACAGTGATTATGTTGGTGTAAATTAGCAGAGTTTTTGTCCCAGTCCAGGCAGTCCAGTTGATTCACACAGACAAAGACAGCTTCTTCCAACACCAAGTGTATTTACAGAAGTTCAGCAATAGAAACCGACAGCATGACATTCATTAGAAGAGATCCATACATCTTCTCCACGGGTCCACACAGTTATACACATGCACATTTACATACAGCCAATCAGTGTGGCCACTGCATCATCCCAGATTATATGATCCAGCATTTTGCACACCTGTGAAGTATGGCTGCTGCTTACCATAGGCTTGGTTCTGCCTCAGTGTGAAATTATCCTTGATAGATTACACAAATGAAAAAGAAATATATCTTTGAAAATACATGAACTTTTATTCCTTCACTTTTGAGAAAACACAGGTTGTTTCTATTTCCCTGAAGTAGAAGAAGAGCCTCGAGATTAAATGTTATTACAGCTGAATCAACTTAAGTGCTAGTACTTCTAATTTTAGAAATGAAATCCTGCTCTTATAGGCTCTACACAGTGGGCAGTTTTCTAGTTGTTCATGTGTTAAGACTGGAGATCTGTGCATTTTAGCTTTCTTTGGGTATTTTAAATGACATGATTTCAAGTGCTTTAAGTTTATTGTTCAAAAGAGTTCATTGCTTTCTCTTCTTCTTTGACAGGTCTTCTACTGGACCCACCTTTCTTATATCTTAGTTTGGGCTTTGCTAATTGTCCATGGTCCTAATTTTTGGAAGTGGTTTGTAGTTCCTGGACTGCTGTTCCTCTTAGAGAAGGTGTTTTGTACTGTATTATCGCATGCTAGAGGGATGTACATTGTGGAAATCAACCTCTTACCCTCAAAGGTTTGCTTCCTATAGAATGAAAGGAAAGGGTTAGAGGGGTAGAATGAATGAGGTTAAGAACTAAGACTGGTTCATCCTCAGAGAAGGTAATACCTTGTGCAAATACCACTCTCCTCTTTATGTACTGTGTGTACTCTTTTTGTTTTGTTCTGTTCTGTTTTCTGCCTTTTAATCCAGGTAACTCATTTGGTGATTAAGAGACCTCGGTTTTTCCACTACAAGCCTGGTGACTATGTATACCTGAATATCCCAGTCATAGCTAAATATGAGTGGCATCCATTCACCATTAGTAGTGCTCCAGAACAATTAGGTACGTGATCTGAGGTTTCAAAGTAGCAAGGACATAAATAGTAAGGAAGTTGTGGTTTATTAGTAACCCATTACTGCAGTGTGCCATATAAGACAGAAATAAGGAAACGAGGGACAACAGTTTGTATGGTGATTTCTCAGACTTGCTAAGGCTGCCATATTCCTGTTCTTAAAATTCAAGTAACCTAATTTGTATAGAATGTAAAGTCAGTGTCCTCACTTTCATACTAAACAAATTATATTGCATACTATGCAAATTAATCAAATTTGTTCCTGAATTGTTTTTCCAATGTTGAGCCTCTGAGGGAGCCACTACTAGTGTTACTATTAAAGTGCTAAATTTACAAATGGAGACCAATTTAAAATCATATTTCAGTCAACCATTCCTACCTTGCAGGTTGCTTTCAGGATAGAATCGGAAAACGGAAGCCATGGAAGCAGTCACATAGATTGTTGATGAAAATAAATCAGGGCTGGGTCAAATCTGGACTGTCCAGAGACCCCAATGCAATGTGCCAATACACCTGATCCCCAATAATGCTTTTAATGTGGGGGGATATTTTTGACCAAAAAGAAGGCATTTTGCTGTTTCGAGGTCTGAACTGGCCTTGGTGACACATGCCCTAATTACTTGTCAGATGGATCACTGTAACACACTCTACATGGGTTGCCTTTGGAAAGTATTCAGGAACTCCAGAGGATCCAAAATGCCACAGCCAGGTTGCTAACTGGGGCTGCTTATGGGAAACATATAATTCCCCTGTTACAGCAGCTCCACTGGCTGCTGATCAGTTTCTGGGCAGAATTCAAAGTGCTGACCTATAAATCTCTAAATCTCTAAAGACCGCATTCCCTCTGTGAGCCTGCCAAGGCATTAAGGTAATCAGGGGAGGCCTTTCTCTTGGTCCCACCACCCTCAGAGGTAGGCTTGGTGGGGACACAGGAGAGGGCCTTCTCTGTTGTTGCTCCCAGACTCTGGAAGTCCTACCACCTGGAAGCTAGGCTGGCCCCATCTTTGCTGTCCTTCCACAAGCAGGCTGTTCTTCTTCAGGCAGGCTTTTCCATAATGACTGGTGTTCTGAGAGGGGTTTTTAAATGGATTGTTGTGCTCAATATTTTAATATTGATTTTATTTACCATTTTAATACAATACTTGTTTAATTCTTTTTTAAATATTTGTATCCTTACTGTTTTAGCTTTTAAATATTACCTTTTTAATGATGTAAGCCCTCTTGGGTCCTTTTTAAGGAGAAAGGTGGGATAAAAATATTTAAATCATCATAATAAATGTGGTCTTTATAAGGGAGTCAATCCCAGATTGCTAACTGGACAGCTTTAATTTTGCTTCAATGAGCATACAAAGGGAAGCTGCAAGAGAGTGTGACATTAAGAATCCTTGTTGTGACATTAAGAATCCTCTTTTTTTTAATTTTTAATTTTTTAAACTACTGGGAATAGGGTAAGGAATACAAAAGGTAAAAGGAAGTGTAAGGGATGGGAAAAGGGTTTTGAAGATAGGAGAACACAGAGTATACAATCATACAATCTATTCATATTAAGTATACATTCATGTTTAAATTTAAATCTAAGTTATTCCAACTCTATCAGGAAATCGAGACCAATTATAAAATACATCCCCTCTTTCAATTTCCTTCTGTCTTATACGTGCAATCAGCCTGCCTGGAAAAATCTCCATTTCTAGCACTTCCCATATTTTCTCAGTGCCCTTCTCTTGTTTCTGTAACTCTATTTTCTTTCTGTTTTGGGAAAATAAAATTGAGTGCAGGACAGTAGTCTGATTTTTAACATCACCTTTTCTGGCTATTATAGCTGAGTAGCTCACAGAGTAACTCTTACTCTCACCTATAGTACCTGGCATAGCTCTCGGTGTAAATTGTATTGGTGTTAGGGTCGTTTCATTCAACTGTTGTTTTACCTCTGCTGATTTCCCTTTGATAAGATCTTCCACCTGGTTAATGAACTCATTTACCTGCTGGAATCCTGTTATTATTGTCTCCCCTCCTTGTCCAGTTATTGTCCAAATAGTATCCTTATCCAGATATTATAGCAATATTATCAAAATCCACAGCAAATTCAAATAGTCCGAACACAGCAGACACAGGGAACCAGTCTCTCCAAAAAAAGTATCGTTATAGTCCTTCAGTAACTCTGGCCCTGATTTTTTTAAAGTCCTCAGTCTATTCTGTTAAATTCCTCTCGCTCACGAGCTGATGATTCACTGTCAGTTGCTCCTAGAGGGCTTCTCCAGTTCTTCAATCTATGTCGCCACACTGATAATTCGTTGCCTGTTTTTTCTTCCCACAAGCTTATGCCTCTTGCTCCGAAGACAAGCTTTTATTTTCAAAGTCCCACTCAAACTAGTAAGAAGAGACCAGACTGCACATCAATAAAATTTCAATTCCTTAAAGATTGTTGAGTAATATTTCCACTGGGATTTTTTTCCAGAAACACAAACTTTTTCCATCTCGCTGTCTTATCTCATTGACCTTGAGCCAGTCTGCTAGTTGTAAACTTGTTGTTTAAAAGTTCGCTTTGGAAAAAAAATCCACAGGCTGGCATGCCGGCTCACTGCTTCCTCTCTCCTTTCGGTCAGGTATTTTCACATTAGTTTCTTTAACATCATAATGAGGTTATTCATAAATCAAAAACTTACTTTGTTATTGTGTACTTTCAGCTGTATTTTTGTTCTCCTTCTTCGGGAATTGGGGGTGGAGTTTTCCCACAGCTTTCTGCCATAAGATGGCCTCCCATCTCCGGTCCGTGCTTGGGTGAATTTTCAGAGGGAAGAAAGACCCAGTTGCTGCAAAATCTTCTACCTTCTGGGCTCACCATCTGCTTGGGGGTGACCTCTCCTGGCCTCCCTTTCCGCCCCCCCCCCTTTCTAGAGGGACGACAGGCCGGGCAGTTCCCACTTTTCCCAGGAGCTGTTAGCCGGGAGCTGCTTGCTTCACTGCGATCAAGCTCCGCCTCCCTCATTAAGAATCCTCTTTACTATCTCTATTTCAACTGCTAGTTGTGAAAGAAGTTTCAAAATGTATCAGAGATCTACAATGAGCCAAGAAAAACTGAGTAACCTAGCAATACTGTCAATTGAGAGAGAGTTCTACGTGGATGTCACTACTATTATTGAAAAATTTGCACAAATTAAATTTGAGTATATTAGCATTAAATTACATACTTTAATTAAATCAGTATTTTCTTAAAATACAATACATGTGCCGGGGTGCAAGGGGTTTTGTATTGGATTGGTGGAAGGAACTCGGGGAGTGCTAATGGTCCACAGGTTGGGGGTGCAATACTTGCCTTGCCCAGGGTGCTGGTAACCCACAATATTCCACTGCTCAGATGTCAAGCTTAATTCCTTTTCCACCTCTACCCTGCTGTGATCCTAGCAGTCATTCCACAAGGCCAATGTGCATGAGTGATTAGTTCCAGCCTGCTAATTTGACTTTGATCCACTTCTTCATATTAAGTAATTTCCTCCACCAGAAGAACCGGTCATGATAGATGGAAGGCTTGCCTCAACTGGACAATGTTCTGTTCTGTTTAAAGGAACCATATGGTTGCATATAAGATCCCAGGGACAATGGACCAACAGATTATATGAATACTTCTGGCATCATAATAAGCTTCAGACCCATAGGCCCGAGTTGTTGGTGGCTAGAAACCAAGGAAACAAAAACAGGTCCAAGAAGTGGATGCAGGTCTGTGGTTTAAAATATGAGTTGGGGTCTTCTCTGGTTTTTGTTGTAGTTAATAGATTGTCCTTCATTTTGTATTTTATGGTATTCAAATGGATGTACAGAACACCCTGGGAGACTGGGACTCCGTGGCTGAAATCCAGTTTCTACAGCTATGCCATATAAGGCTAATGAAAGGGGTTGTTGGGGTTCATGGGACGAGGTGTTTTTCCCCCTGAAAATCACCACCATTGGGATGACTTTACTGGTGTCGGTTTTCAGAAATTCTGTTCATCCCCATCTTCATTCCACAATGAAAGGGATTCCACAGGAGCCTTGGAATCTTGGGGTAAGGGGGTAGTTGGAAAATTTTTATTGACATCATCAGCCTTACACGGTAAAATCTATGGGACAGGACTTCAGTGTGTGCTGGTGAGAGATGAGTTTTATGCATTGTTTTGAATATTCATTACTTGTGTGTACTCAGCTAGAGGAAGCAAGCGACTCTGCACAAAATTTAAACTAACTCTTTTCTTTGGCTATACATGTGTGCAGAATGTTAAGTGTGGTCTTTTACTTTTGCTAATCCTAACACTAGAGGTCAGTAGGCACTGTAGAACTATTCTATTTTCCTCCTTTTAATAGATTCTCTGCCATGTAGGAAAAGATAGATGATACAGTGGAAAAATAAGGATGGGGATAACGAGTAGAGAAAAAAATTGCTTACCCCGCTTGCAAAATTCATGAATGAGGCTTTAATGTGATGTAAGCTTTGTCTGAAGTAGGGATGAGGAAAATGTAGCTGCAGATTTGATCATATAAATTACCAGGGGATCTCCTTGAACTGTTTCAGAAAAGTCTCTTTGGCTTCTTTGACTTGGACCAGTCTGTGGCCACCAGTGGAGATGAGATGATTGAGATCTTGTCTTATACACCCACATGCAATCCCAGTTGGGGGGCTGCAAGCAAACATGAGGAGATGAACAACATGCAATCCAGAAATAACCTTGTCTTGCCTAGCAAACACGTACATCCCATACTCAAGGTATGTGCCCCTAACAGAAGGGCATATTTAATGCACTTTTAAATGCTTCTTACTTCCCTGAGCAGCAAGAAGTTCATGGGCCATGTGAAAGTGTTTAGTTTTCTTTGGATGAGAGTGTATTGGAGCCTTAGCATAACTCCATAAAATCCCTTATCTTGACAAATATATAAGTAGAGCAGAACAAAAGTAAATAGTCCATTGGGATCAGGATTCCTCCAGTGTTTTGGCAGATCAAGTTGAGATGTTCAGAGTACCATCTTGTTGTGCTTTATTGAATCACTTTCAGTCAATGACACCTGAGGAAGTTGACAGGGTGCTTGCTCATTGCAGGTCCACCACCTCCAATCCTGATCCTTGTCTGTCTTGACTGCTACAACAATAGCTATCCAGATTATCAATTCTTCCTTGTGGGAAGGGGGTTCCTGTTTAAAGGCAACTATCATTAGGCCCATTATGAAAAAGGTCAACTTACCAACATATGAACAATTTTAGGCCTGTAACAATTATTCCATTTACTGACAAATTGCTTGAGTGGTGATGGCAGATCAGTTGCAGGCGTTCCTGGAAGAAATCAGCTCTTTAAATCTATCCCAGTCTGGGTTCAAACTTTGGCATGGCACGGAGACAGCACTGGTCAGCTGCACTATAACCTATTAAGGGAGGCCAACCAGGGCAATGTAACCCTGTTGGTTGTCCTTGACCTCTCAGCCACCTTCAATACAGTCATCTGACTGCAGTATCATCCTGGATAGACTGTTGGGACTGTGGTAAAGTAAAGGTAAAAGTTCCCCTTGACATTTAGTCAAGTCGTGTCTGACTCTAGGGCGCGGTGCTCATCCCCATCTCTAAGTCGTAGAGCCAGCGTTTGTCCGTACACAGTTTCTGTGGTCACGTGGCCAGCGCGACTAGACATGGAACATTGTTACCTTCCCACTGTGGTGGTACCTATTTATCTGCTCACATTTACATGCTTTCAAACTGCTAGGTTGGCAGGAGCTGGGAGAAGCGACGGGAGCTCATTCCATCGTGTGGATTTGATCTTAGGACAGCAGGTCTTCTGACCTTGCAGCACAGAGGCTTCTGCGGTTTAACCCACAGTGCCACCACGTCCCTGGGGCTGTGACCTCATGAGTCCCTATTGTGGGGTCCCATAGAGGTTGATCAGTTCCCCAGTGCTGTTTAACATCTATGTAAGGCCACTGGAGAAGGTAATCAGGAGATCTGGAGCATTGTGTCATCAGTACTCCTTTAATCCATTGGCAGTAGATGCTGTTCGGTGCCTAGAGAGTTGACTGGCTGCAGTACTAAACTGGACTAGTAAACATAGCTGAATCCAGACAACACAGACATCATGTTGTTGGGGGTCCATCTACCTATGGGGTATTTCCCCTAAACATGATGGATTTACTCTCCCATTTAAGTAACAGATGTGTAGTATGAGCATTATTTTAGACTCAACATTGACCATGGAAAACGGGACTCCATTGTGGCACATTCCACATTTTTCCAACTTAGGCGAAATGTCCAGCTGTATATCTACGTATTTGGATATTAGGTCCCTAACAACATTGGTCCATGCACTGGTGGTCTAAAAAATTAACTACTGTCTACATGGGGCTTCCCTTGAGGCCCATATAGAAGCTTAAACAGATCCAGAATTTGGGTGGCCAGAATGATTGTTGGAGTGAGGAAATTTGATCATATCACCCTAACACTGGCCCTCTTGCAGTGGTTACTAGTTTGCTTCCATGCCAGGTTCAAGGTTTTGGTTCTAACATATAAAGCCCTAAATGGTTTAGGACCTTGTTACTTGTCTGAACGTTTTCTGACAAGTTTGACTACCCATCTGACCCAGTCCTCACAGACTTCATGCCTCCAGATGTTAACACTACAAAAGGCCTAGGGAACATCAACTTGAAGCTGGGCCTTCTCAGCTCTGATGCCCTCCTTATGGAATGCCATACCCCAGGAGTTACATCAGGCACCCTCACTTCATGCCTTTAAAAAGCTGCTCAAAACAGAGCTTGTTAGAAAAGCTTTTGGGGAGGCCCTCACCAATTAATTGGAGGAAGAAGGAAGGATGCATATTATACTGAGCAGCATTTATTTTGCTGCCTGTTGTGTTATTTGCAATGAGGGATTTAGTTTGTTATAGCTAACTTTTATATTATTTATGTTTATATAATTTTTGTTTCTTTGTTTCTGTTGTACATCACTCAGAGTAGTGATTTGCTAGATGGGCAGTCAAAAATCAAATAAATAAATAGTTCCCTAAGGTGACAGAAAGATGTGTGCACCTCTTTAGCAGCCTCAGGCTGCTTGCTATCCAGCTGAAGTCATGACCATAAAATGACAGCTCTCTATCTCTGCCACCCCAAAGATGGAACATATCTTCTCCCCCACCACACATAGGTCCTGAATTAAACTAGGTAATACATTTCACACATAATTAAAAACTATTCACCCTCAAATAGTGAAATGTTCCATGTTTTTCCTACAATGTGTTTTTCCTCACCCATATCAATGCATTAAAGAGTGCTTTGTGGAAGACATGTATAGTTTTTTTTTGTTTTTGTTTTTGTTTTTTGCAGATCCAATTGCTGAGACAACTGTCTGAAAAAAAATCATATTTTGCTGAGACCTAAGTGGCTCTGCTCAGCATTCAGAGGTTTGTCTGAATTTCGGACACATCCCAGTCTCCGGCACCCCCGTAAATCTCTTTGGAGATAAGGGGCTGCTTACAGAAGGAATGTGGTTGCGGGGAATATACATTTCTCTTCAGGTCTGCTTTGACCCTAATATCCCCTACCCTTCAGGTAAATTGCCCTTTCAGGAGATCTGCCATCATTAACTCCCAATGAGGTATCATTAACATCAGCTATTATCATAACAAAAAAGTGAATACATTAAAATGATTTAAGAAAGACTAGCACTTTATTTACAGATACAACAACAATCTAACAAGAAAAAATGATGACATTGATTCTTTCACAGCCAAAAGAGGTAGTCGTTAAAGTTGAAATAATTAATTGACAAATGTTCTACTTTCCCCTAGTTTGCTCTAAAACATTCTCTAGATGGCAGGGACTTACAGTGAATTTTTCTGCTGCCAGTGATACTGAAGTGGGATGTTGCACAAGAACATGAAATGGCAAGTTCACTCAACCAGGCCCTGGATGTAAATGAGATTTTTCTCTACAAGGACTAATGTATTGTCACATTTTTTTCCACCAAATCTAACTGCACAGTACTGTGAAAACAGGATTTGTTCTCTCCTCTTATTTAATCCATGTAGCAACAGATAGAACTAAAGAGATAGCTCATGTACAGTTCCCCCTGAATGTCACCTATCCTGCCAGTTTGACTGGTGGCTTGTTAGTATCTCATTCCTAATAAAATAAAATTCTGCTGAAGGTGGAAGATCTGTTCAATGAATCCAGACTGTAGCGGGCCACCCTCAAGCCTTTACCAATCCAGGCCTCTAAGAGTGCTCACTACCTTTCACCAAAACTTGCTGCCACCAACCTATCCTTATAATCAAAGGGACAAGTGTTTCTTTCAAAACAAATAAAGTATTTATTGATTACACAAAATAAAAGTAGTAAATCACAGGTATAAAATCAATTAGTCAATCGCTGTTTATAAGACACTAACTCACACAGACTTTTCCCTCACTGACAGGCTCTTTCTCACTCTCAATCAATCTCTTTAATCACTCATCTCTCAAACTGCTCTCTCAAAACCACTCACACACACCTTATATAACCCAGCTCCTCCCACTTCTGCACCACCCTCCGTCCTCTCATTGGCTGAGGTTCCCCTGCCCAGCTGTGACAGACAGGTGAGAGCAGAGCTGAATGCCACACAGACATTCTTGGGTTCAAGTCCATATATTCAGAGCTGATTTGTGGGCTTTTGGAAATTAACTTTTTAGTAAACATGGTGCTAATATGTCAGTGTCTGTTTGTAACAGATTTCTGGTAAGCTTCATGGGAATCAGAGACTCTGCAGTATCAAGATAAAATCTACTGCTGCTCTTTGATATTTGTTCATTTCTAGCAGGCTTCCGTATGTTGTATGAATCATATATATTTCCCAGAACGTTTGCAATCGATATACAGTACAGTGAACATGTTGGGATGAAAAGTGGGGGCAACTGCATAGAAGTGATGAGTTCAATGGTGATATCCTGTTTCCCTGAAAATAAGACCTAACCTGAAAATAAGCCCTAGTATGATTTTTCAGGATGCTTGTAATATAAGCCCTAACCCCCCCCCCAAATAAGCCCCAGTTAAGTGAAACCTTGCCCTCCACCATTGCGCAGCATTGTGCAGCAACCAGAAGATGATTTGACTGTATTTGAATAAATGTAGATTGTTGTACATGAAAAAAATAAAACATCCCCTGAAAATAAGCCCTAGTGCATTTTTGGAGCAAAAATTAATACCTTGTCTTATTTTCTGGGAAGCACGGTAGGAGTAGTGACTTCAGGTTGCATCAGATGCCTTTGAAGATGCATAGAATTTGAAGTTGGTTTGTTTTAAGAAAAGGACAGCCAGAAATTGTAGAATATAGAGAACAGTCTGTCCTGGGTGCCAGCAGTCTGGCACTTCCACCACTGAGAAATCCTTTTTTTTCTAAAGGTATGCTAAGTGGCTGAAATAAGAAAACAGAATACAGTGGTGCCTCACATAGCGATCGCTCTGTTTAACGAAGAAATTGCTTTGCGACACTGTTTTTGCGATCGCAAAAACAATCGCTTTGCGATGTTCCCTATGGGGAAAATTCGCTTTGCAATGATCGCAGGGAAGCGATCATCGCAAAGCCCCCATTTTCGGCCAGCTGATTGACAGTTCCAAAATGGCCACCGGGTAAACAAAATGGCCGTCCGCTGTGTTGCCTCGCTTTAGAGGCACCGAAAATGGCTGCCCCTATGGAGGGTTTTCATTTAAGGTTAGTTTTGAAGCCCATAGGAATGCATTAAAGGCGTTTTAATGTGTTTCTATGGGCTTTTTAATATCACTTAGTGATGAAATCGCTTAGCAGCGATTTTTGCTGCACGGATTAACATCGCTAAGCGAGGCACCACTGTAATGCTGTTTTGAAACATTCTGCCCTTTAATGCAGTCCCCTCACTTTAAGACAAGTTTTCAGAGCATTTTGTAAAAATGTGAGCTAGGTGCTGAGGAAGAAAAGGCATATATGCTGAAGCAAGCAGGATGGCACTCTCTCACCCCAATCTAGTCATGTCTTGTTGACAAGGTCAATGGAGCAAAACACAGGACCAGAGAGAAATAGTAAGGGTGGGCAACACAAATCCCGTTTAAGTCATAGGGCCACTTCCGCAGCCAGATGCAACATGTACAGTAGTTACAAACAAGATTCCCTCTAAGGTGCCCGTGCGACTCTGCCCTTCTCCTTCTCTTCCTTCACACACACACACACACACACACACACATACAGTGATTGTGGGTTCATTGCGGTTGTGGTTCCATTGTGACTGGAATTTGGACACAGGCAGTCAAGACATCCACATTCTTCCCCCAAACTACTTTGCACAAGAACATGTGATCAAAAATGGGGTGGGTATTCCCAGTGTGATGTAGTGCATAGAGTGACTGACTAGGACTCTGGAGAACAGGGTTAAATCCCCAGTTGATCATGGAATCTCACTGGGAAGTGTAAGTAAATATCTCACTTACCTTGAAAGCCCTATTAAGGTTACTATAAGTTGGTTCTGACTTGATAGCATAGAATACACACAATAAGATTATCTGGTAAAGGCCTCATTTACTCATCTACTATGTCCAGTGATAAGTCACCAATATAATAAGCCAGCTTTGTAAAGAACAGGAACTTAGTGTTCTGCTGTTCTCTTCCTTTACTTCAGTGTTATATTGATGGTCCTTACGGAACTTCTACACGACGGATCTTCGCTTCAGAACATGCAGTCTTGATAGGGGCTGGAATAGGGATCACACCATTTGCCTCTGTTCTGCAAAGCATTATGTTCAGGTTGGTGGGCAACATATTATATTCAACTGGCAAAACCCCACATTTCCCCCTTTTCCAAAATTCCATTTCAAATATGACACCTTCACTTTTAAAAAGATAGTATAATTCTAAACATGTATATTGATTTTCCAAGAGACTTCAATCCAGTTAAAGATATGTATACATTTTTAAAGGTACAGCTTTTAAAAATTGGTCAACTTTCAAAATAATAAGCGAGAGTAATTTCTAATGGTATGTATTAATATATTCTGAGCTGATGAGAAAGGTGTGGAAAGGATTATGGCTTCTTCATGTTTACAAACCAGGATTTCTCTTTCTTGGTAGATATCATACAAGGAAGCAAACCTCATTTACCCAGAACCACACATTGGGTGAGAACCTTCAGGATGAGAAGATGAAACTCCAGAAGGTAAAATTATTCCTTCAGAGTAGTGCCTTGGAATTTTTCTTGCAATATTTTTTGTGTTATAAAGATAAATAACAGTAGCAGGGAAACCTTCTTGTCTTCAGGTTGACTTTATTTGGATTAATCGAGACCAAGTATCCTTTGAGTGGTTTTTAAGCCTGCTCACTGAGCTGGAGATTAGTCAAGCTAACGAAGACCCTACTGGTATGTATGTGAGCAGTTTGTTGGTATTTTTGCTTAATTTTATTTGAAGCTGAACAGCATGTTTGACCAGATAAACCAGAATGAGACTTCATGGAACTTCTAAGGAAATAAGGCAGTGAACTGGAGATACTTGTTGGGAAAATGGGGCTAAATCCCAATCAAATTATTTTTATTTTACTTTTTATTAGTAAGGTACTGTCAAGTTTCATCTGGTTCGTAACTAGGTTTTCTCTTCTGGTATTTACTAGGAATACCAAAATGTGTCTGTGTGAAGAAGAAAGCCTCCTTGTTCATTCAAAGAGTGGGTTTGCCCAAACCAGCTTTCCTCCACAAGGCTTCTAGTGGTCATACATATGAAAATGCTGTACATGTATATCAACATAATCAGATAGAGCTTCTGCACATATAGCACAGCCTGAACTCACCACACATATCTCACTTACCTTGAAAGCCCCTTGATTTATGTAGAGTCCTTCTCATGGGCACTGAAAATGCAGGCGGTGGAGGGGTAAGTGGTACCAATTTTAACATTTTATTTCCTTTACACAGGGGACTTCCTGGAGATGCACTTGTATGTGACTTCAGCACTCAACAAGAATGACATGAAGGCCATTGGCCTGCAGATGGCATTAGATCTGCTTGCAAAAAGGGAAAAGAAAGACTCCATCACAGGCCTCAGAACAAGAACCCAGCTAGGACGCCCAGACTGGGATAAGGTAGACTTCACTAGGTTATTTTTAGCATCATTTTCAATCACTCTTGCAGTTTTGGTTATGTGATCACTTGAACCTGAACTTTCAAACCATCCAGGCCAATGTTTCAGAAATTAAGGGACAGAGAAACTCTGATACTCAGTGAGAAGGCTGGACATAACACCAGACATAGGATGCTAGTGACTCCGAAATCCTCTTATATAAAATTCCACCAGAATTTGGAAACACCCAATTCGCTCACCTTTTAGGTTTGGAAAGGATTTCTCTAGGCTTTGTGGATGACCCAGATTTATGTTCTGAAAGTTGTAATTGATGGTGCTACAGCAACATGAGTAGGCAGTCTTCAGCGAGTGTAGATCACATCAGCATACCCTGCCCTGCTTCTCTTACTGAATTTACCACTGCATTGGGGTGATGGAGAGAAATGTGGCTTTTATAATTTAAATCAAGATATTCCCAGTCCACCTTGTTTAAAGGTTTTTACCTTTAAAACAAGATGTGAGCATTGTTGATGAGTCTAATCACCCCCTCAGAAGCCTATCATAACGATATGTGAACAAGTCATGCACCACCTTTAAAGGGACAAACTCTTTTTTCAAGAGGATGTTCACACCCTGATACAAAAGATAGAGAACAGATTTTTCCATGGCATTATAACAATTTGGCCACTGGCAGGGACCTGGGAGCAGCAGAGATGGCGAAAGACCACAAAAACAGCCAGAATGTACATAGAAATTTTAGGCTACAAGTTATTAATTCTTGCTATAAATGCATTTCTGCAATATATGGACCACCCTACTTGTAAGAGCCAGCAAGATAAGACACTAGTACATAATGAGAAGGTATGTTCTTTGTTTAACTCCATTTTATTTTGGGACTAGGTAAAAACTAGAATGGAATGGAGCAGTTGGAATGGGGACTTCTTAATAAAAAACCTATGCCAAAAACAGTGTGATGTGCTGGGCAAACATCCAAACAATATTTTAGACCTCAACCCCAATAAATATTATTTATTCATTAAGCCTTTATTGCCCCCATACCTGCTTGAATGGAACACAGTGGCCTGGAATGGCAACTTCCAAGTAGGATGACTAAATGAGACAGATGCAGCAAGCCATGGAACATGTGTAAGAACAACATCCCAGTTCTTCGTCCGGGCAGAAAATCAATATTGTGGAATACAGCCTGGAACAGTGAGTAGGTAATTTCCAGTTAAATTCATTGGACCTATCCAGCTAGAGGGGACTGATAGAATTAGTTACAAAACGTCTCCTAGATTAACATTCCAGTACCCATTCCAGGCAGCAAATCAATACTTCAAAACAAACAAACAAACAAACAGAAAACAGCCAGAAATGGTGACTTCCAAGTGGAAACCCCAGCGTTAGAATTGGTGGCATCAACTAATTCATCAGGCACTTATGACCAGATGAGTGCAATGCATCAAACCACCATTCCACAGGAACTTCAGTCCATACTCAGAAACACAGTGTGGCAGAAAATCTGAAGTTGCTGTTCATGGGCCATTTCCAAAACATGGAATCTGGGCACAGAACAGGTCCAAGAATGTGGCCAGTGTTTTGTGGCTCGATACATCAATCCCTTCTAGTCCTATGAGAAAGGTGAACCTTGTCATACTGTCCTACTTGTAAGTTGCTGTTCCAGGCTGTCTGGTACAATGTAGGTTTCCTCCCTGGAATAGATACTGGAATGTGGTTCCTGAAGATGTGTTCTCCCCTCTCATCTGATGAGATAGCTGAATATCACTGTTCCAAGTTGTTTTGTGCAATATCAGTTTTCTGCCCCAAATGGGTGCTGGAATGTGCTCCTTGAGACTGTTTTGCTGTTGACTGTTCCCTCTAGTCCAGGGGTCTCCTAACTACGGACCACAGACCACATCCATCCCGCCTTGCCTTTTTATCCAACCTGGTGGCCATGTGGGAGTGCGGGCATGTGTATGCGCATATGCGTATCTTCCTTCAGCCCTCAGAATGTGGAACATGTATGTTGTGGCCCTCACTTTGAAAAGTTTGGAGACCCCTGCTCTAGTCTGATAGAAGAAATGAATTATTTGGAAGTCACTATTCTAGGCTGTTTTTTTTTTAAATATCAGATTTCTATCTAAAGCAGATACTCAAACGCTTTCCCTGGGTGTATTTTGTGCTTGATTGCATTGTCTCTTCTAGTTCAATGGAAAAGATGAATTTGTTTGGGCTGTATGAGTTGGAAGTTGCTTTTCTGGGCTGTTTTCACAGGAGATATCAGATTTGTGCCTGATTGGAAATGACTTGGTGAAGCATGTTAAGAATGTATGTGTTGCCACTCGAACTCAGGACACAAATCTGAAGTGTTACGAGGGGAGGAAAACCAATTAAGATTGGAATATCACTTAAGGGAGATTGAGGTTCTTTCAGAAACACCATCAAACTCTGAGGGAGTAAATAAATAGGCAGATTTATAAAATAACTTTTTAAAGAACACAGTGTTTCATATTTAGTTGTAGAACAAAAGAGGGATAGTAGTTTGAAACCATGTTTTGATTTAGTGAAATGTCCAGAGAGTGTTGTTATAGTTCAAGACAAGTTATATAGGGAAATGTTAAAACAGCCTCATAATGGACAAGGGAGGATTACATAAGCAGCTGATGGTGCCAACTAAATACAGGGAAAAGGTTTTGCAAATGGCTCACAGTAGTGCATTTGGACGACATCTGGAAACAGCTAGAACAACTCAGAAAGTAACATTGAATTTTTATTGGCCAAGAGTGGATCAGAAATCAAACAATTATGAAAAACATGTGGCATATGCCAGAGATTGTGGGTTGGGAGAGATAAAAGGAAAGCTAAGCTTTCTCCTTTACCCATAATTAGTGAACCATTCAAAAGAATAGGGGTTGATATTGTGTGTCTCTTCCTAATGTTACTAGAAGAGGAAATAAATATATTTTAACTAATTTCTCTGACAATATATTTTTCTTCTGGCCCTGTTTCAGGATGACAGATGCAAACATGTGAACAAGTATCCCCCATACTGGCTCATCTTGAATATAAATACATTCTCCCACTTCCGCTAAAAGTTGGTGATTAATTTGGATGAGTAGACAACGTTTCTCTTCTCTTGCCTGCATGGAGCTGACTCTCTGAGGCAATTCGGTTTCCATGGCAACCTGTGTGTTCCAATCTTTTGTATCCCACAATATTGTGGGATCAGAGGGATCCTAGAGTTATGGAAATCCAGTAGAGTTACAACAGTGTCCTTCATTGATAGGACATCTCCTGATTCCTAAACATTTTCACTGGATTTGTCAGAACTCACAGTGCTGCCACCATATATGTGACCTAATCACCTTTAATCTGCCTTTTCCTTTCACTGCCCTTTGTTGTTGTTGTTCAGTCGTTAAGTCATGTTTGTCTCTTCATGACGCCATGGACCAAAGCACTCCAGGCCCTCCTGTCTCATGTCTCCCACTCGGAGTAGGGTCAAATTCATGTTGGTAGCTTTGGTGATACTGTCCAACCATCTTGTCCTCTGTCGTCCCTTTCTCCTCTTGCCTTCACACTTTCCCAACATCAGGGTCTTTTCCAAGGAGATTTCTCTTCTCATGAAATGATCAAAGTATTGAAGCCTCAGCTTCAGGATCTGTCCTCCCAGTGAGCACATGGGGTTGATTTCCTTCAGAATGGATAGGTTTGATCTCCTTGCAGTCCCGGGGACTCTCAAGAGTCTCCTCCAGCACCACAATTCACAAGCATCAATTCTTCGGCGGTCAGCCTTCTTTATGGTCTGCCTCTCACTTCCATACATCACTTCAGACCATTTTTTGGTGCTCTCCTCTTTCACCCTCATTAAGAGGTTCTTTAATTCCTCCTCACTTTCTGCCATCAGAGTGGTATCATCTCCATATCGGAGGTAGTTGATATTTCTTCCGGCAGTCTTAATTCTGGTTTGGGATTCATCCAGTCCCGCTTTTCGCATGATGTCTTCTGCATATAAGTTAAATAAGCAGGGAGACAATATACAGCCTTGTGTACTCCTTTCCCAACTTTGAACCAATCAGTTGTTCCATATCCAGTTTTAATTGTTGCTTCCTGTCCCACATATAGATTTTTCACTAGGCTTACCTTCAGCCTAATACAATGAAAACCAAATGAAGTTTCCAAATCAACCAAATTGTAATTTTATTAACAGCAATCTGGTCTCACAAACACTACTCAGTTGTGTGGTTACAGTTTATTTTCAGCTCTGATCTTATATTTCAGGCAGGTGTTCATAGATTACAATTTGAATGTCTTCATAGCACTCTGCAGTTACTAATACATTATAACACATCTTAGTTCTACAGTCATTTAAATCTTCTAGCTCTTTAGCGTTCTTTCCATATGTCTAACTAACCATTAAACCAACTGCTTCAGCCAGCTGCTCAACATAACTCTTCTGTTCTTACTTTCATTGTATCTTTCACTGGTGCCGTCTGATTGGTTCTCATCTCAGTCGTCCATCAACCAATTACAAACCAGTCTGGTATTGCTGGGTTAACTCAGTCACTGCTGTGGAATGCCCACAGGGCTGTCCTACTTGGAAGTGTCCATTCCAGGCTGTTTTTTGCAATATTGATTTTCTACCTGGAACAGGGACTGGAATGTTGTTCCTACAAATGATTTCTAGCTTGCTGCATCTGTCTCACCTAGTCACATGTGTTGAAAATTTGGTAGGGCTATCCTACTCAGAAACTGTTCTGGGACATTGTGTTCCATTCTTGCAAGTTTTGGGGGAATAAAGGGGTAATGAAAAAATTAAGTTCATTGGATTTTAAGTCTAAAATATTGTTTGGATGTTTGTCCAGCACATCAGTTTTTGTTAAGAGGTCCTTCCAGCTTTTACCTAGTCACTTTCATTTCTAACAACAGGATTTCTTTAAAGTTGTATATTTCAGCATAATACATATTGAGACTTGTAAATGACCCTGTGTTTACCTTCTGACAGCAGAGGCTGGTGGTTCCAAG